GCTTGGTTGCCGAAACTGTTTTGCTGCTGTTGTTGTGCCAAATGTGAAGCAAACAAATCCTTTTGTTGATGATGATGAAGCATTTGAGATGGCTGAGGGCCTGATGGGAATTGCCGGAAAGATAGTATGGCCGGATCCATCGCTGTCCAGTCATTGCCCAAATTACCGGCATTTCGATTATTTTGATTCATTTGATGTGCCTGCATCTCACTAAAGTTTGGTAATTGATGTCGTGGCGATTGCAAATGTGAATCCCAAGCGTTGAAAACGGATAAATGTGGAATATCATTTAAATGTCCCCTATTTCCTACTCCCATATTTGGGAATGGCATCATTTTGCTTGTATTGTGCTCCCGCGGTGCATTTAATCCAAACGAATTCATATGATTAAAGCCCGGTGGGGGCATGCGAGCACGTTGCATATTATCAATGTTGTGTTGTTGATGTTGTAGTGGGTGTTGGTGTATCATATTGGTTTCGGCGCCTACACGAATGGTGTTGATATTGGGTTTCGGGTGCTGTGGTTTAACTATTTCATTTTCCATCAGCTCAGCCAAACCCTTTTGCGTTTCTGTGAACGGATCGAATCCCAAATCGTCGTCAACAAAGGCATTACTGGAAAATTCATTTTGTATTCTACTGTGATTTTGCAGCAAATTATGCTGTGGCGTCTGTATGGTAGAATGGTGTTGTTGCAACGCCAACATTGAGTCAAGTTGCCCAAGAGCCATATGTTTTTGCTGGTTCTGTTGGTGTTGAAGTTGTTGTTGTTGTTGCTGCTGCTGCTGCTGTTGTTGTTGTTGCTGCTGCAAATTCGTTAGACCCGAGTGCTGCATAAACTGATAGGGATTCGAGGTATTTTCTAACATCGTATTGCTTCCATTCATAAGAGGCTGATCATTGTTGCTACAATGTTGCTGCAACTGTAATTGCTGATTCTTATGAAAATCAAAAAATTTCGACATATTTATGCCATACAGATTTTGACTCAAGAGAAGTTCTGATGCGTGCTCCAAAGTTGTTAGTGGCGATTGCCCAATCTCAGATAAGCTGCCAAAATGGTTTTGCACACCACTTGGTGGTAAATTAGGCTGTAATAAATTCAAATTGCCAAATAAACTATTTTGTTTGTGTAATTCGAGTAATCGTGCCAGTTCTTTCTGTTGATGAGGATGTACTTGTTGAAACTGTTGTTCTTCAATGCCCTTTAATAAATCGGGCAATGGTGATATTTTTACATTATTCATTTGATTGGACAAGTCTTCGACTTTGTCTTCTGAACTGTTCTGCAGTGTTGTGCCTGGGGAGAATGGATTTAGTTGTGAAAGTGCTGGTTTTGTATTAACAAGATCTTCGCTTTCCTCAGTTTTTAAATTAGTATCTTCAAACGATTTATCCGTCAACAAATCATCTCCTTCGCTAGTTTCAGTCTCCTTGCTATCAGTTAGTTCGTTTCCTGATACTTCTGGACTTTCGAAAAGTTCTGATGTTGTATTTATATCATTGCTACTTCCATTTTCGACCTTATCACTCTCGTTTCCATCAAAATTATTCTGACAGTCCTCAATTGGCTTAATGTCGATTTCGTCAACATGTTTCTTCGAAGCCTTTGGCTTACTTATTTTGCCCTTTGTTGTACTGCAACTAATATTATTTGGTGTAACGTTACCTTCTTGGACGGGGCTGTCGAATATTGATGCATTACCATCAGCAGATGACGATTCCGAACTATCTTTTACATCACTATTATGACTGCTATTTTCCCGCTGTGCATTAAGAACGTAACCTTTATTGACATCATTTGAACTATTTTTATTTTTTGATTTTGCACTTTTGTCATTTTTAACTTTTTCGTGTCTACCCCTATCCTTTTTATTTTTAGCCTCACCAGAACTCGTTGTTACAGGGTCTCTATTAACTGGTGAATGTGATAAGGTAGGGCAAGGATCTGTTGCGCTTTCCGGCGAAGCTCCATTAGGCGCCGGTAGTAATGAGGGTGAGGATACACCAGACGAAGTTGTCGCCTGAGGGGGCGAACTGGAATTTGTTTTACCATTTTTGCCACCACTGCCATGATTACTTTCACCGCTATTACTTCCCCACACAGGCACACCACCATTACCATTTGCTTGACCTGATTCACTTGAACCGCTCGCATTAGCACTATTTGAACTCACAACTAATGCGTCATGTAAGCGTTTCTCATATTCTTGATGTTTCCCCTGATGCATTTCCTCCTTCGTAAAGCTAGCCTCTGGATCACCCAACTCATGCAGATACATACAATCGCCTTTGGGACACACTTGATTCTTCATAAAATGACTGCAATACTTTGTTGTACCCAAACTAGTTTTTATAAGTCTGCCATCTATTATTATATTACGGGTATTGACACTTTGTATAGCTCTCAGAGCATCATTATTCTGTACATAAGTGACATAGGCCGAAGCAGACGGACCCTGTACCCCAGCATATGCGGTACTCGGATTTATCACAACTTTATGGATCTTACCATATTTGCCAAAGTACTCATGCTTCTTGAGTACCTCAGCATCGGCCAATCGTGGCGGCAAACCAACGACAAATACTAAATTCTTTTGCACCACTCTGACATTCGACAAATGCTTGCGGTTTTCAGTCACGCGTACCTTTTGCTTACGCTTTTGGTCGCGTTGTTTCTTCTGCGACTTGAAAGCAAGAATTTGCTCTTGAGTTAGCGGCGTAAAATCCGCGGGATTCTCCGTATACTCCTTTCGACATGCGGGACACAGTTTATTCTCATCGGTGCGTATCCTGTGCCAGCAGAATCGGCATATTTGATACCCGCATGTGCAAGGAAAGAAGTTCAAATCATCGACCTCAAGGGGCTCCATGCAAAGTGGGCATTCAACTGAGTCTTCGTTGTTATCCATATTGGTCTTCTTTGATTCCCTTCTGATTTATAACAAACAAAAGAAGGCCACAATCCAGACAAGCGGACAGAAATGCTGTAGTTTTTCAAGAGATTTTTTGTGGTCAAGGGTAGGCCTTTCTATGTCGGAGCCAGGAGCTGTATAAAGAAGAAAGAGAAAAACATATGTTAAGCAAAATTTATTATCTTACGTATATGTGTAATAATTTAAAAAACAACTGCAACTATATACATATACATATATGTATGTGTGCTCATATGCGGTAACAACATATATCAACAGCTGCGATAACTCAATTTTCCACGAAAAGCACAAATTTTAACTCAATATTGTCTTACAAACATATTTACATGCCACAACACAACTGGTTAATCCTGTGCCATTTTGGCGAATCGCTCTTGCATTATAGCGAGGCAATTTTTGATTTTCCAATATTGTCCTGTGCTGTTGTTGTAATATGCAGTCAGAAATTTGGCCATAATATCGAAAAATCAAATATTATAGCCAATTAGATGTTTCACCAAAACTTCGTGCACTACCTGCGTGTTTGCGTATTTGCACTTGAGTTTATATGTATTTGTATGTGTTTATTCGATTGCCACTGCACTTTGAGAGGAGCAGATTGAAATACTAATACTTTTAACTTTAAAATCAAAACAGGAATCCAAAGGCACTACGAACCGTCCAATCTGTCACTTAGACATGAAGCTACGGGAAAGGAAACGGAACAAAATAGGCGAAATGGAAAACGATTTCCTCGTGTGCCAACAGGCTTACACATATAAGTGAATCAGTTGAGCGCTCGTATTCCGGCAAATTTGCTTGTACTCAGAGCTGGTGGAATCGGTACGAATGGAAGTGTGTGGCGTGTAAAATTGTGCTTGTCATAGAACCGCTATATGCATTTCATAATGTTGCATTAGTGTGTGTGTCTTATTTGAGGTAAAAAAAAGGATACGCATCTCGCGCAATGCCAACAATAGCAGCAACAACCCGTTTCACCGCACCACTGTCCTCTTGAAGGCCTTTTCTACGTTCATTCGCTTTTTAGTTTAAACTCTGGAAGGGATGATTTGAGGGTTCACCCCTTCGTATAACTTCCAATCAAAAAAAACACAAAAACAACACAACAATTCAATGCAATCTCGCAAATGCACGAACGACAACAATTGGGAGCTTAGATTTTTTATTATGCGTGTATTCTTTCGATTTTATTGTGCGTTCGAAATTTTTAAAGTAAACTCGCTAGCGCCGTTCTAGTCGCGAAAGTTAACTCACACGTCGCAGATGGGAAAAATGACGCGAAAGGCCGTTTTAAAATTTCCAAAGTTGCACACTCACACCACCACGCTACGCAGAAACTCTCGCCAAAAAGTCGCCGCTACATTCATGGCGTGGAACAGTGAATCGTTGGATTGACGGTAAAGTTGACGTTTGAAACGTCAGACGCACTCGTGCACTCAGGAAACAACGCTGTCGCTGTCCTCTATGTGTAACACCAACAACCGACCACCACTCTACGAAAGCAAGACAAATAAGAATTTACCGCGTGTGCGCAAATTACATTTTAAAGTGTAAAAAAGTTAAACAAAAATTAGCAAACCTAATTTTAATAGTAAAATAATCAAGTGAACAGCTGCAAAAGCGGCATTCTAACCGCCAAAATGTATTCTTAAATTAATTTAACAAACAGTGGGTTTCGTTCGGTTTGTTATAAGTGCCGCAGATAATAATAAAAGATAAACATTTACGCACCGTTGCCAAAATTGGGCATACTTTAAAAGCGATTTGAAAGCTAAATGCCTGCTAGTGAACTGGTAAGTTGAGATAGTTGTCAAATAGTAGCTTGTATGGTTTAATGCACTATTCGAAGCATACTTTTAGGCCGCTAAATTGGTTACATAAAATTACTAATAAAACTAATACATTCATTGCGATATGCACACGCTAGAGCTTCTCTCAACGATTTTAAAGTTTTCCAATGGCAATTCCATTTGTGTTAGAGGGGGTTGCAATACATTTATTTATATATCATCAATGTGCATATATACATACACACGCATGTAGGTGTTTGAGTGTAGTGGGACGTGTAGCAACAACTATGGTGGCGGTTATCCGCCATATTGACGAGCATCTTTCATTTCCTTTGCTGTATACGCTACTGCTGTTCGTGGTTTTGTGTGAAAATAGGTTCCTGCAAAAAGTTAAAATTGCGAAAATGTTAAAATAATGCAGTAAAATGGCCGAGCGCAGTTTTAAAATCGGCCAAAATGTGCAAATTGTGGGTAGAAATCTGCGTGGGCAAATAGCGTACGTGGGTTTGACCAGTTTCTCACCGGGCAAGTGGATAGGCGTGGTGCTGGACGAAAAAGATAAAGGCAAGAATAATGGTACTGTCAAGGGCACTACCTACTTTAAATGTGCTGCTAATTGTGGACTCTTCGTACGACCAGCACAATTGATTTTAATTCGAGACAGTGAAACCGATGAAATGACAGAGCCAACAGCGTTAGAGGCTGGCAAAAGCAGTGGCTTGAAACCAGCGGGAAGCGAAAAATTTGCAATAGCTACGCCAGCAACATCGCACCCAAGCGCAAAAGCAGTGGAAAAGGGTGAGACTAAGAATCAAAAGTCTAATGGATCAGCAACAACTGTGCATACGGAAGCAGCTAATAGCAACACAGTAGCAACTTCGAATGGAAATCTGCTGAAGGCAACCAAAATTAATCAACCGTTGCAAGCGAATCAACGTGTTATCTCCTCCAATACTCAACTGGAATTATCCTTTACGGGTGCAACCGTATCAGTGGCGGCACCAAAGCGCAGTAAAACTACAGTTAGTCCTTCAGAGTCATTTTGTTGTGTAAGGCAGCGTTCAGCATTTGTGGAAACGGGCTTTCTGGAGATACTCCATACACAATTCACACCCGGCCACCCATTACGCTCGCCCACTGCATTCAACCTCAACAATGGATCGCACAGTACTCTGGCAATCAGCCCCACAGAGCAATTGCAACAACAGCAGCGGCAACAACAGAGATATAAGGATTTGGAGGAACAAAATGCTAAGTTAAATGAGGAATTAAATGAGTTGAAGAGTCAACGCTTAGAAGAAAAACGGCGTTTGCACGAACTCGAAAAGATCCGTTTGCAAAAAGAGCACTTAAGCGAGTTCAAAACTCAAATTATGGAGCAGCATAGTATGCTGCAACGGGAACTGCAACGCTGTCGACAAGAGCTGAGGGAGGCTAACGAACACAAGACCATGTACAAACGTGAACTGGATGAAGTAGCTGATAATATTGAACTGCTCACGTTGGATAAGGAAATGGCCGAAGAACGTGTTGAAACCCTGCAAATAGAATTGGAAACGGCAAATGAGCGTGTTGAAGAACTGATGCTAGATATTGAAATCTTGAGAGCTGAGAATGATAATTCAACATCAGTTACAACTGGCGTACGTACAGATAATGGGTTGAAAGAAGAAATAATACAGCCGTCAGCGACAGAAATCAAACGTCTCGAACAGTACAATCAACGACTGCGTGAGACGGTTGTGCGACTGCGCGATGTTTTGACACACGAAAAGCAAGACCTACAAAAGGCCAAAAAAGAATTGGAGACGAAAACATCTGAAATCTCAGAACTAAAGAAAACCAAGGAGATACTTTCGAAGCGAATTGATGTAATGGAAATGCACATTATCGACTTAAAAGAACAAGTAGACGCTGCACTAGGTGCGGAATCAATGGTTACATCCTTAGCAGAATCAAAAATAGAACTAGAAGAGCGTGTCAAATTATTGGAGGAGGAAGTAATGGAGCTCGAGGCTCTGGAAGAGATTCACGAACAAATTATTGAAGGTAACCAAGAACTAGAATTGGATTTACGCGAAGAGATTGATGCGCTCAATTTAACGATCAAAATGTTGCAAGAGGAAAAGAATAATACGCTAGAAACAATATATGATCGAGACGTAACTATTATGAAATTTAGAGAGCTTGTCAAAACATTAAATAACAATATACTCTCAAAAGATCCGCCAACAAATGTATTGGGCATCGCTACAGGTACTGGCACTTCCACATCAGACGATCTCAGCAGCACCCTCTCCAATCAGGACGAAACTCAAAGTATCGACTTTAATCAAATGTTCTCGGTGACAAAGGCTTGCGAAAGGGCCATCGACTCGCGGCTAAATGCAATTGAACTCAAACTGTGCAAAGCTCACATTGGGCACCTTCTAGCGTTTGTGCCTGAGGAGATCATGCTGCGCGGCTGCGAATATGACATCATATTGGTGCTGCTCTTACTGCAGCGTTTGTATGAGAAAATCGAAATTATTTGCCACATAATCAATGAAAAGTTTCCATCATCCTGTGAATTTGCCAAAAACACTATATTTGAAGGATTCTCCGTGCACCGCTTCGCTTTCCGTTGCAAATGCCTATATGTATTGCGCAGCCTTAAACTGGTCATTAAGCAATTAATTTTCGGTTTGAATCACTGCGAGTATGAGGTGTGCACACATGCCGCTATTTATCGCGGAGAAATGGAAACACAGGAGAAATCCATCGATGAATTGATTAAACGACTAAAAGGCGACATGCTCGATGAAAATACACCCATGGAATCGGTAGAACGAACTCTATCATTTTTCAATACGCTTTACACCAATCTCATTTGCTCGCAAAATCTTGCCGAGTTAATAGACGAACAACAACTCTACGTTATGCTGGTGGAAGTACTGGATGTGTGCCTGGACTGCATCAACACTAATGCTGGCATACTGCATACAATTATACAGTTGGGAGATGAAAATACCGAATCATTTTGGGCCATGCAATTTCTAATGGAAAACGTTAATCAATTCAAGCAAAAATTACGCAAGTTACAACGGAAGCTTCCTTCTGCTACAGTAGATATTTCAGCTATGCAGCAACAACAAATTCAGCGCATACAGCATATACTAACTACGAATGAACATTTCGGCCGATTTATTAATATTTTAATAGCAACATCCAAAGATGCAACGAAGGACATATCAACAAGCAGCTTCTCCACCAATGGAGAGCGTCTATGCGACGCAGCCATCGAACATAAAAAGCTTTGGAAAATCCTTATTACGAACTGTACAAAATATGCTGCTGAGGAAAAATCAACACCAATTGCCTTATTCCATCATTGCATTCAGCAGCTCGACGAAATAATCAATGAGCTCACTATTTTCATCTCGGAGAACGAGTCTGTGCGCAACGCAAACAAAAATACGATGTTCGTACGCTCTTCGGCTACTACGTTGCTGCAACGCTCAATGCAATTAAAGCAACATTCAGAGGATATGAAGAGTTTGAAACACTCATTGACCGAACGGGATAAGGAAATCAAAACACAAAAATACTTGGCGAAAATGAAACAGAACGAATTCTCCGAAATGCAAATACGAAAAGAGATCGCCGAACGTAACCTGTCAAAGGTGCAACGCAGCCAAGAGGAAGCTCTGACGCAGATTACGGACTATATCGAACAATTCGACAAGCTAATATGCCAACGTGAGCATATAATCGCGCAATCATTCAATATTATAAAAGAAAAACTAACTGCCATGGAACATAACCACGCACGTCTTGAGCAGAAACTTATCTCACGCAAGGCAGTCATGCATATTTCCACAGACGAAAGTTATCGCGAAATCGAAACACTTAATAAGTGCTTACGTTACGAGCGGGCCGAACGTTGTAAGCTGCGTATCGATGATATGAAGTTGCGCATGCGCAGCTTCGAGCCACTGTATGTGCCACACCAAAGGCGTATGGTAGACGCAACGGAAACCCGACTCGCCAAGGAGTTACTAACGCTGAAAAACCAATGGATTCTTTCACATATTAAATTAAAACCAGTTACGGAAAACGAACGTTACACACTAAAACGAAAATCAAATGAACTGCTGCAACGTACATGGAGCACATACTTTAAGACGCATCCTCACCGCAGCGCGTCAAATAATTTCGGCGATTTCGGCACGAAAGATGTAAACCAAATATTTAATTAAGATATTTCTAGAACACGTGCCGTTAGTACTTTCTTTCACTTCAAAAATATAACGGTGGCCTATAGATATGTGAATTAATAAGTTCTTTTAGACTAAATTAGTTTGATGCTGAGGTATTGATAAGTGATTCTCGTAGTTATTGGAAAGTAATATTTTTCGTTAATTCTTAAATTAACCTTTTAGCTTATCGAGTTTGAGATCGAGTTGTACTGAAAATATCATCTATAAATATAACGAAAAGCCTTTTTAATGTGATCAAGAACACCAATTAATTTTTAAACACTATGGATTCTTCTAAAAATGGTGTATATGATTTTCAAATTTCTTTTTTATTTTATATTCATTCATTGAGAATCAATCAAAATCTTTCTGAAAACAGTATTACTTAAATTTCTCATATTTTAATTGATGAAATCAAAAAAAAAAAAAAATGAATAATGATAATAATAAATGAATAGTAATAAATATAAAAAAGAAAACATTGGAAATTAATAGTCTCTCTAGAATATTATTTTTATACCCTGAACAGGCTATATTAAATTTGTCATGAAGTTTGTAACACCCAGAAGCAAGGGTCGGAGACGGTATAATGTATATATATAATATAGACAGATCAGTATGTCGAGCTGAGTCGATCTGTCTGTCCGTCTGTCTTTCTGTATATATACGAACTAGTCCCTCAGTTTGTAAGATATCGTTTTGAAATTTTGCAAATGTCATTTTCTCAACAAGAACCTGCTCATTTGTCGGAACTGCCGATATCGGACCACTATAACATAAAGCTGCCATACAAACTGAACGATCGGAATCAAGTTCTTGTACGGAAAACTTTCACAGTTGACAAATATATTCCCGAAATTTGGTATAGATTATTTTCTAAGGCAACAATAAAATTTTCGAAGAAATATAGCATATATTTTAACTGCCATACAAACTGAACAATCGGAATCAAGTTCTTGTATGGAAAACTTTCACATTTTACGATATATCTACACGAAATTTGGCACGGATTATTGCTTAAAGTAACAATATAATCTCCAAAAAAATTATTCAAAACGAATTACTATAGCTTATAGCTTCCCTACAAACTGAACACAAAGTTACTAACAGAAATGCACCTGTGAAGGGTATTTAACTTCGGTGCAACCGAAGTTAACGTTTTTATTGTTTATTACAACCACTATATATCGTCACCTGAAATTTAAAACAACGTATCATCAAAAGAACCGAAAATGAGTTTTTTATTGCTTACAATTTACTACATATCGTCGCCTGAAATGCAAAATAACGTATCATCAAAAAAATCGACATTCAACATTTTCAGGTTCTGCGGTCTGTTATAAACCAGTTTTAACCAATATTAAAATTTTGCTTCACTCATGTTCCATTTTATTTCGTGTTTCATTCATGCCACCGAAAATGTTGTTAAGTTATTTTGCATTTCAGGTGACGATATATTATGTAGTATATGTTTCATAAAATTTTAACCTCCCGCTGTCAGATATAACCAGTATATAATCACTTTATAATCAATATATAACCGTTTTATAACCAAAACTTAAATTTTGTTTCCATATCCTGTGGACTTGTGAAGAGTGATGTTACGTTATTTTGCATATTAGATGACGATATGTACTTACATACATATATATGTATATATATATAATAAATTAGAACATATAATAATAACTACTTATTATCACCATTCTTTCAACTATGGTAATACGAGTATAAAGCTTTATTATTGGCTTTACGGATATTTATTAAATTATAGACTTATAAATATTGTTATTTACAATAATCGAAAAATTACTCTTTGCTAACAAAATTTAGCATACTTTACACTAACTTTTAGTGCATTTAATGAAATTGATAATATCGTAGTTTAAAGGCATAGTTTGGACAAAAACTGAGAGAATAAACTGGAGAGAAGCTTAATGAGTGTGTAACACTAATCAGTAGAAGCATATGTACTTAATCTCTTGTTTATAAACTTATTTTAAGCAACCTACAAAAACAGTTACAATAAATAAAAGTTAGATCTTCATACAGAGTAATGGAGTATTTTTTGAAAATTGCGAATAAATTATTTGGCTTTGTTAATGGTGTTGTTATTTATTGTTGAATGCTGTATAAATATTACTGGGATTTACCTACGGAGCAAACTATCAAAATATCTGATTTTGTCTCATTCATACTTATCATATTTCAACAAATTATTCCAAAATAATAAATCATAAAAAACTTGAATTTCAAACTTAAAATGCAAAAGTGTTTAACTTATTATTCCAACCACTGACCTTTCTCCATTTTATAACAGTGATCAACCCTCCGTCCAATGAACCGCAGCGTATACTTGCATACATTTAAAAAAGAATTACCTACTGTATGCTAGTGTCGTATGCTCTTCGATACTAAAGGCAACACGCACGCTCATTGGATTGTTACACATTTCGATCGGCATTGGTCATCCCTTATTGTCAATGCATTTACTTACTTATTTACGTCCGTGCATCTAATGTATGTGCACTAAAATGCAGATACGCATGCATATTTTAACAGTTACCCTGTAGTAGAATATCTCTGTTCAATACTGGCATGACCACCATTTTATTTCACATTTTTGTTGCCATTTTCTAAGTGGTTAAAGTTAATATTTCATAGGTGGTGCGTCGAATATTAAGGCTTAATGTAATTATTGTGCACATTTTTCATGCGTTTTAAGAATGCAAGTATTCTAATATTTTATCGCAACATATTGAGTTTCATAGTTTTGTTCATCTTACGATTGTATGAATCACCTTAAGCTAATCGCGATAGATATATATTTAAATTTGATCCGTCCGTCCGTCTATCTGCGCAAGCGATAACTTGAGTAAAACTTGAGAAAATATAATGAACATTTGTGGACATGTTCCTTGTAGATAGGAATGACCGCTCAAAAAAGTAATCAAGAAATTAAGACAAATAATAATATTTAATAAATATTTAATTATTATTAATAATATTATTATTAATATAAATTTTTTTAAATTAAGTGTAGTCCCGGCCCTAAAACGTGTAATGTCACAAAATTCTAAAGTTAATTGAAACTTGATGAGAACAAAACCTTTTAGCACCTCTTCGTACACTATGAAAACAATCAAAATCAGATGATAAACACCGTCATTAAAACCGCCATATAATGCTTGTATTGCAAACTTCTGAAAGTAGTAACGGACCAACTAAATATCTTCAGGTGAAGTCTCATTTACATATATGCATATCTGTCTGATAAGAGTATGATCTAATACTTAGAACTTACTTATCCTAACTCCCAAACATCTATTATAAAGATTTTCAAACATTCGGCTGACTTTATATTCTATTTATCAATCAATCTGTAAGGTATCTTAGGAACATTAAGTGAAGATACAATATTTGATATACTATAGCTTAATTCAGACTATATGAAAGTGGTCTACGAATTTTTTAATTCTAATAAACTGTATACCGAAGGTATTGAGCAATTTATAAGGTATATCTCTCAAATTGTATAATAGTTTTGTTCACTTAACGGCTGTATCATCTTAAACTAATCGAGGGTTAAAAACTAAATAAATTATCAGGATGACAAGACAAGTTGAAATCCGTGTGACTGTCTATCTGTCTGTCCATGCAAGCTATAACTTGGGTAAAAACTAAGATATATTGATGAAACTTGGTAGATATTATATATTATCAGACCACTACCACGCCCACAAAACTAAAACGTATATATTGCAATAACTAAGAAAAAAAAATATCCAAAATTGTAATTTGATACAACGAATTTCAAGAATTATGGCACGTGGCATGTCCAAGCAACCTAATAAGTTGAATGTATATATATACATATATCTTCCAAACCAATAAAGCTATATCACCTAAATTTGCACAAGATAAACCTTTTCTTACGATAGTGTAAAAGTAGTCGAAATAGGATAATAAACCTACCCGCTCCCCACATTACGGGTTTCTTAATAACTAAAAACACAATTAGGTTAAAATCCATATTTCGGGATCTTCTTCCTCTTTATTGGCATAGACACCGCTTGCGCGGTTACAGCCGAGTTTACAACGGCGCGTCTTTATGCAATATAGTGTCAACTGGAGATTCCAAGCGAAGCCGGGTCCTTCTCTACCTGGCTTTAAGTGGAGGTCTTCCTCTGCCTCTACTTCGCCCGGCGGGTACTGCGTCGAATACTTTCAGAGTTGAAGTGTTTTTCTCTCCATTCGGACGACATGACCTAGCCAGCATAACCGCTGTCTTTTAATTCGCTGAACTATATCAATGTCGTCGTGAAAGGGCAAATGACCAGAAATCTTCCGCCGAACCTTTCTTTTGAAAACTCGTAACGTCGACTCATTAGATGTCCATGCATTTGCACCATAAAGCAGGACGGGTGTAATGAGTGACTTAAAGAGTTCGATCCTTGTTCGTCGAGAGAGGACTTTACTTCTCAATTGCCTACTCAGTGCGAAGGGACACCTGTTGGCAAGAGTTATTCTGCGTTGGATTTCCAGACTGACGTTGTTGTTGGTGTTAATGCTGGTTCCAATATTGACGAAATTATCTACAACTTCGAACTTATGACTGTCAACAGTGACGTGGGAGAAAATCGCAAATGCGACTACTATTTGTTTGACAACAGGAGATATTTCGTCTTGCCTTCGCTCACTGCCAGACTCATTTGCTTCGCTTCTCTGACCAACCTGGAGAAAGTTGAACTAACGGCGCGGTTGTTGAAGCCAATGATATCAATAACATGGCCGTACGCCAACAGCAGTACACTCAGGTTTTCTATTTAGTTCTGCAGCTCGAATAATTTTCTCCAAGAGTAAATTGAAGTAGTCCCACAAAAAGGAATCGCCTTGTCTGAAATCTCGTTTGGTATTGAGAGGTCCTCGAAAAGGTTCTTCATGATTCTGGCAGAGCTTTTTTTATTGCAAATTCACACATCGCGGCATAAAGGCAGCTCCTTTTCCTACTTTCAAAAGCAGCTTTGAAATGACGAACGAGTGGTGCGTGTTGATTTTCTTTTCACGTGTCTTTTACAAGATTTGGAGCATTGTGAATATTTGGTAAATTTTGATTTTCCATGTCTAAAAACACACTGATAAGGGTTAAACACTTTTTTGAAGATGGGCTTTAATCTTTTACACAATACGCTCGATAGAACATTTTATGCGATGTTGAGGAGGTTTACGCCACAGTAGTTGACGCAGATGGTGGGGTTACCTTTTGGGGG